CGGAACTGGAAATCCTCAGAAACAGGATGCACACTACTTAGTTTTTGTTGTTGGTTTCTCGGCGGGAAAGATATTGCACGGTAGTGAAGTGTGGGCGTGAAGGCGGCTTCAGCTGGTGTTGTTATGGTAGGGCGCGTGGTACGTGTAAGATGATGCTGGCGAAATTGGAAATGGGGGAGATAGTCGAAATCGCTAAGTCGCGAGGAATACGTGTGACCAGTGTCGTGATGAACGGCAGGGAAGTGAAACCCACAACGGTAGGTCAGAGGAGGCCTGTCCTCCTCGTCGTCGTCGTCGTCGTCGTCGTTGTAGTTGTAGTTGAGCATTCGTTAGGCACAGCTACTGCGGGCTATGTATCGACTTGAGACGGTTTATATAGAAGAGAACTTCACAGCGCCCGACTGGGGGAAGAAGTGGCTGCGGGGACCACTGGCGGTGTACGATGCTGTGGTTTCGGTTGTGGACAGTTTAACTAATTCAGGGACGAGCAAAACCAAGCGGTAGATCTAAGGGAATGCAAAGTAGTCGACGTGCCTAGGAACCCAGACGAAGAGGAGGTAGGGAGCTACTCATGGTCGCATGGGGGATATCTTCTACAGGACGCCGGCAATCCCTCTAGTCCTTGCCCCCTAGCCGCTTCAAAGTGCCTTACTATCCTCGGACCAGTGAATAGAGCTGGGTATCCCTACTCTGGAGTGTTCCTGCATACCATTAGGCAACATACAGGAGTCAAGCCACGAAGGGTAAGTGGTAGTAGTTGGGAGTAGTATCTTGTCGCGTCAACTGACTGTAATACTATGTAATGTAGTATATATATACTTTTACCATGGTTAAGTGATATGAGTTTCTATAGAGTAGTCGAAGTACTAGTATATATGCTTTAAGCACAGTATTAAAGATAGCATGAATCCATCAGGTAGAGTATAGATGTCGTATCGGTGGGCGCATGCACCAAGGTCAAGGATGTTTGGCGCTACTATCAGCCCTTCCACTCTCCCAACGTGAGTCTTATTGGTATTATATCGATTCTGTAACAGGAGTCATGCTCATTAACTCTAATTGCCTCGGGGGTTGGATCGTCTTCCTAATACATACTGGCATTTATGACATAAATGGACTGTAGATTCACACACACACACACATGAATCTGAATGTGTGTGTGGACCTTAGTTGGACTAGATCGATGTACAGTAGCTCATTTGGGATCAGTTTAGCCTGTTAGATAGGCCTAGACGGTTACGCCAATCCATTCACATGCAATCCTTTACTCCGATTTTTCTCCCTTGGTCATTCAGAGACTTCACCCTATCAAAGCCAATCAGCCCAGGCAACTGCCGTATCACAGCTAATACCGCGAGGAGGGTGTACGTCCCCAAACCAGCATAGTTGATTTCTATCGTCCCCTTCAGCATTATGTCCGGTCGCTTCTGCCTTCGTGATCGGCTTTATGGAGAACGGAATCAGTGCAACGGGATGTCCAGCTTGGGCATATGAACCGAGGAAATGGTATTTCTGAGAATATCAGGTCAGAATGGTTACCGGTAACGAGCCACTGATAGGTACCACATTGCGGTCGATTTTAAATGGCCCTCACTGGAGAAATGCTCTTGTCGCAATAAACTCGATCGAATCCACGATGCTGATGTACCGTGTGAGCTCACCAAGTCCGACCTCCACGTGACCTTTTGGGTTAACGGAAAACTCGTGCGAAAGGATGCTCGAGTGACTTGCGACTCTAGGTGGGTCAATGGACAACCGTATCTTGGGCATGTT